GAACCAGCTTCCCCTGGCACCATAAATCGGCAGTCACCTATCAAAAATACTATACATACTGCTGGCTTAGCGAATTGTCGCCTCATACGTTTTGCCCTGGAGTTCCGTTAAGTCTCTATGCATTCTTAACGCAAACCAATTAATTCCAACAAGCAGCGCGTATAAGGAAGCATGACTTAACAAGAGGTGAACGCAGACCGTGAAGTCTGGTGGTCTCAAGGCATAGCAGAGATGGAACGTGATACCGCCATGGGAAATTCCCGTAAGCTGTTACATCCCAATCAATTCACCAGTGGGAAAGCTTTGGGTGAATGAAACGCTGGGTGGAGCACTTTGAGGCACGGTTTATTTGGCCGCCAAAGTTAGCTTCTCGTACATCTATAGCGGCACCCTTTTTGGTCTGCCTTGACAGACTGACTTTCTGGACTGATAGGAGCCCGTGCATGCACTCACCTGTGGTGATCAGCTGGAAGTGGAGCTTTAAGTACTTCGGGAGCTTAATCACATAGCTAAGGTGGTATTAGGAAAGAGGTCACATCATGAATTGCTTTTGCTGATCTGTGACATGTGTGGTGCCGTCATGGCATCTGACTTTCATTTAAGAGAAAGATATACATCGCCACGGTTCGCAGCGTTTTGCTTTACGACGGCGAGCCCTGACCTCTCCGAGCTGAGGGAGCTGACTGATTTTCTGTATTCCATCACCGACGCCTTTGAAGTATTGCTTGGTTCTGGTGAGAACATCGGAAGAACACTGACGAGATCCACCGCCATGTGCTGAAAATTGTTTTCCAAGGGATACTTTATACTACCTCCAATATTTGTGGTAAATATTCATGTTCACCGTCTACCTCACTATGCCTCTTCGCAGGTGCTGGGTCAGGCTGGAAAAAGCGATGTGGCGAGCGTCGGTATGACGAAGTTAGTTTTGAGATTGGTTTTACTTGGGTCCCAAGTGATGAGGAGTCTTTGGTGGGACGATGAGGAATGCGACTCAAAACAGAAATCACGAGTGAACACTACCACAAAGAACGAACACAACACAAAAAGATTTAGAAATTGCACGGAGGCATAAAAATTTTCCTTAAAACCCTTGTCCTCAACCATCCACACTTCTACCCGGCTCTTTTCGTTTTAGCGTTGCGTCGACACCTACGACTACAGTGTCTTCAATAAGAAGTTGAACAGGATGGGTGGATGAACAGTCATTCAGTTTCAGTTAGTACAACTACTTAGCTGTTGTCTTTTAGCAAATAATTTGGGTAAGGCAGCATGAGAAGGATGGGAAAGTTGAACTTAGACTCAAAGAGGGAATGGAGAATTTCAGTAGACCAAGGTTGAAAAATTCTGTAGAATCACTGTACGGGAATTGAATAGNAGGAAGACGACACCAGCAAACAAAACAACAACGAACGCAAATAGTTTCTTCAGTTTGGAGGACGGAACACGATCTTGGAGGTACTTGAAGAAAGCCACAGCCTAGAATGTAAATGTATGTCATAAAAAATGCAACAAAGGGTAAGCTATTGTCAACTGAAATTGATATCAGATGATTAGACGGTCTACTTGAAGCCAGCGGATTAGTGCCAAAATAGGTATCGTCTAAGTGGCTGAATAACGAAGATTACAGAATAAAATGGTTGTCATGTGAGATTATTGAAATTTTATTGCATAACCATCGCATACCATACGTAAGCATGAATTACAAGTTGAACCGAAAGAGTAACCCACTAACAACTCGTCTATGTCGAGTGCAAACCCCTCGGCGATATAATACTTCCGAAAGGAACCTGTGTTAAGGCCCTTTACTGCAACACTGCAATCTTCGGTCCGGGTGTGGTGGTAAGCGGACATACTATTATCTCCAGTGGATACATCATGGATGAGGTGTCAGCTCGCATACAGAAGGCTCGGTTGGAATTCGACAACTTGAGAAATCTGTGGTGCCACCGCGACATCCGGCTGTCCGTAAAAGGCGAGTGCACGCTGTGGCAGTTCGACCGGTTTTGCTATACAGTTCAGAAACTTGGCTCTTAAGAATATAGTATAAAGACTGTCTACGCAGCATTGCACGAACCTGGTGGGGCAAGCAGACGATTATGCTGAGGTTAGGAGCAGTTTTAGGAAACCGCGGTTGTCCACCGGAGCAAGTAGTCGACCTCCATAGATTTTTTCATTACACACTTTCGTGTGATGAACAGCAGACGGGGTAAACCCCATAGTCACGAGGACCTGCTGTTCAGTGATGGAAACCGGTAACCTAAGCCCCGGGACTTGCAGTGGTAAACCACATAAGGCCCCGATAGGTTGGGTGTGGTATTGAACCGGACGACAGCAGAGCTGCCTACCAGCAAAGGTGGATGGCGGGACGGGGCTCGAACCTCGGACCACGGGGTCTAAAGCACACCAGTGACAGCGACTAAACCACTGCGCCACCACCATCCAATTACGTTGGTTGGGGCATATGTAACGCGTCACCACGCACGATGTTTGCCGAGGCAGATAGTGGTTTGAAAAAGGCCAAGGGTAGTCAAACTATGACTTGGTATGAGGTTATGAAAACCCTGTCCAGGTGACCCGGTCAGACCCTCTGGATAATTGTAATGAATGACTAGAAGCACTGAGTAATACCTTGACGTCACATTATCACATAACAGCTGATTCTAGTGACTATGGAATTCGCCCCGTTTGCTGTTCATCACACAACTATGTGATAAAAACAAAAAGATTATCACACAATTTATCATGGTCACTGCATGTTCAGAACACATTCTGTAAGGTTAGAAAGCTCTCATATTTCTCACTCCGATTGAGAATACTTTCTGTTCCCCACAAGCTGGTTGTTAGGTTTGTGAACGCATGCGTGCTCCCCAATTTTTTATTGCACATTTGCGTGGTGAACAGCAGACGGGGCGAAACCCATGGTCACAAAGACCTGCTGCTCCGTCATGGAAACCGGTAACCTAAGCCCCGGGACTTGGAGTAGCAAACCACATAAGGCCCCGATAGGTTAGGCGTGGTATTGAACCGGATGACAGCAAAGCTGTCTACCACTGGTTGCATTGCTCCCCAGTGCCTTCCCCCGAGTATGTTAAAGAAAGACCTTTATTTACTGGTGAGATCTCTGAAACACATCTCTAAATGTATCTAAATGCATCGTCAGGGATAGACTCGTGGATTCTATCACAGACGGACACAAGCATGTGAAAATTTCACAGCCAAAATACTCTCAGACGCTCACCTTCCATAACACAACGAATTTTAAAATGCTATCTACATAGTCCACACGCTCAAGATTCAAACTCTTATTTGCACGTAACTCGTCCTATCGTAATTGTTTTGCCATATCTAGTACGACTACTTATTGACAAGGAGAAAATGTCCACAGAATTGCGCAATTGCTTGCTCATTGACAAACACAATCTACTGCTCTCAGTTTCATTATATATGATTTTGTAACTTTAAATGTACAAATATGGTGTAAATGCTGAACATTCACCCATCCGGGTGCATAAAGCCACTACTGACTTGACTTGGCTGAGTGCCGTAAACAATGGCACCCGTGCATCACCCCAATTCTTTGCAAACTTAGTCGGCTGAAATTTTCCATTTTCTCGTCGGCTCTACTTTCAACTTTCCCGTCTTTCTCCTACTACTTCATCCAAACAGGAAGCCAAAAGGCAGCAACCAAAACCAGTGAACGAAAATGACTGAACTAATATCTGACACGACGGGACATCTTATTGGAGTCTTTTGTGGTTCCTTTATGCAAAGCTGTCAGAGCTCATGTATGAACAGCGCTTCCCTGCAATTGTTTATTTTGCAACGGTTACGCTATGTTGGAAAGTTTTCGAAACATTAGAAACTCGCAATTTCTGTGTGATGTGAGAAACAATTCGCAACTGACTCGGCCCACTACCACTGAATGCTTTCAAGTTGTTGTTTGCTAGAATACGGTAGTTAAGTGGACTATCTTTATCCGTTATTGAATACATCGTAATACAGTTTTTAGCAGGAGGGAAGCGGTGGATACAACAGACAATGAGGTTAGGCGGTGGTGATGGGATTTGAACACAATTCCTCTGGAGCGATAATTTGGAGACCCTACCACTTGTCCACCACCACTAAACGGTTTCTGAAGCTGAAGGTGTTGTTACGTACGTTATCGTGGGATTAGCTATGAAGACCGTCTGACGGCTACGGAATGGTTGGGATTTTCGCTGATCAGCCTTTCCTTGCACCCCACTAAATGCTCCAATACGACCAAGCAGCTCACACAGCCTCTACTGAGGAAACCCTACTTACTGCTTCACGTGACGGTTTTCCCCACCAAAGTGAGAGGGGAGGGTAATATTCAGGACTATAAACGGGTTGGTAAACAAATGGCAGTTCATCCAGAAGAGTTGACTAAAACCGATTCCAAACTAACCAAGAGGCGTATGAACACACCTTCCTGGTCACCGGTTCGATTGGGTATCGACGTGTATTGGACACCTTGGACCTTTGACCCCGTCCGAAGGGCGTATGATCCCATGAACTAGACACCGGTCCCAAATGGATTACGGTTATTATACACCGCCCCACTGCCTTGCGGGTTAAGCTTTGGCTAGCCGAGGGCTCCGCTGATGGATGTCTCAATAAAATACACCTGCCATGGCTTGGGCAACCCGGCTTAAAAACAAATCATGGAATATTTTTCTTTCTTGGCAGTGATCGGTTAAGTTCGCTCACTGTGTACGATGATGACGATGATTTCTTTTTTATAAAGATTATTGTACCATGAATTGTTTGGCACAGCCGGGATTCGGACGGGCGTTTCCAATATCACAAATATGAGAAATGACCTCATCTACACCAGATGCCCCAAAAGNNGACGATCCGCAGTGGAATGGTCTGCTGCTGATCTACCTATAATGGAGAACTAACGCTACCCTTCCAAATTGAAATGGGAACGTACTAGATAATCAAAAATTAAAATAAGAAAACAGGGGTATTCAGAATTAAATACTGGTCTCATAAAATCGAATAGGGAGCGCACTTACTTGTATCAGAGCGAAGACGCCCAATGAGGCCATATGCTCACTAGTCTTCAAAGGCTGAAAGCCAACGAATGGAACTTGCATAGACATCAATAATCCCAGAATGAAGAACACGGTGTAGGCGACGTAGATCTTAGCAGAGTAACGGTTCATAAGCAGCAGCACGAAGACGTGCAACGGTATGAGGTTGATGATGAAAACGTAGCCACCCCAAGCAGAAACCATGTAGAAATAAGCCAATGCGCACGCTGCCGCCCAAAATACTGAACCGGATTTGACAGCTTTCACCCAGAGGTAGTAAGTGAACATAAGTGCAAAAATGGCGATCCCCTCGTTGTCGTAACTGCCGGCTGATGAACGGCTGATGTAACCAGGTGCTGAAAAGTTGAGTGAAACCATGGGACGGACATACCGATGGCAATAAAACAAGCAGCAAACAGACCGGCTCCTCGGTTCCAAATTTCTTTGGTGAAGAAGTAAGTTGTCACCGCCGTCATTCCACTGAATATAGGAGCCAGGAATACACAAACCTCGCGAATATGTATGGGAATGTTCAAAAGCCGGGATATAAAATGCAAGAAACCTAAACATACGTAAAAAGTGAAATGCTTTACATACCCGAAGTAACCATCAACCCGGGGTAAACCGTGCCACCTACAATACGACCTAATGGGTACCAGGCTGTGCTATCGAACCAGTTGTAAAACGACTGAAAGTTGTTTTCAACCATTTGTTTTGTTGCGCGGTAGTTAAACCATGGATCGAACTCATGTATGACGCTTTCAAAACGGATTACAGAGAACAATCGTATGGAGAATCCGACCACCCAAGCCAGCAGCAAAGTGCAAAACGTCAGAAGACCGCACCATCCTGTGACACTTATCTGCTTGCTACCGAAGGGTACTCGGTGCAACATTTTTTCAAGGTGCGCGCCTCTAGACAACAACAGCGTCGCGTACACGTGTTAACGTTCAAAGTGCAAGACAGGTCAGTCAGTCAGTCAGTCAATCAGTTTGCACAGGACAGGAGGTGACCACGGCCAATCGAGCGTCCAGAGTTCCTTCGGTAGTAATCCACGTGTTGGCCCCTACCACTGCGAGTGTTCCATATTGGAGTTATGTACAGGACTGGACAGGAAAGGACAGGACAGATCACAGGACTTGCGGCGGAGCCAGAAGCAGTCCAGTTTCTTGCACCAATGAGCTTGGGAGCACCACGGCGCTGCGACAATTGTATTATTTCGTTCACGTAGACGTGAGTGAGTGTGGTTCTGGAAAGGGAAAACGCACTTCTGATGGTTCCTCCGAGTGACAGTACACGTCTGAGGTTTGGTCAGGATCAATGCAACAGCTCGCAGCCAACCGCTCCGAGCTACCCAGAGTAAAAGGTGTGTTGGGAGAAGAAGCATGACCTACAAGTGGTGGTGCTGGATGTTGAGAACTTTCAGTAAAATATGGTGCACAGTGAATGAAAATTGGAGCTAAGGGAGTTGGAGAAATCAAAGTGGAGTATAAGATGAAGAGTTAAATAAAAGGAGGGGAACGGAGACGGACGAGCTATTAACGACCTCAGGCCCGGTGTCAGATACAATCGGGGAACGCTGGTGTCCAGCATGCGTCAAACTTCACCTTGAACTCGGCAATGGTTTTTGACGCCACTACCTCCTGCGGCAGTTTGTTCTATGTATTAATTACCCGGTGCGACAAAAAGGTGGCTCTCAGGTGTTTGAGCGCCTGAGGCTTTTCTAGCTTCATGCTGTGCCCCCTTCTGTTGGGCACACCGATCGGCTGAAGTAGGTAAGAGATTCCCTGAGAGAGAAATCCGTCAAGATACGCAAGGATTCAATCAGGTCCCCCTCAGCCTTCTCCGACTGAGTGAGAACAGGTTCAGCCCCTGAAGGCGTTCGGCATATGTCGCGTGAACCATGCGCGTGAACCTCCTCTGCACCCTTCCCAGAACCCTTTGGTCCTTGTTCAGAGTAGGGGACCAAGTTTGTACGCAATACTCAAGGTGCGGACGAAAGAAGGCCATGTAGAGCGGGACTAGCACGACAGAATACCTAGACGTCACTGTGCGCTTCAACCTGAACAACGCTCCATTGGCCGTACGTGCCGCAGCAAGACGCTGGGCAGAGGAGTTAAAAGCG